TCCTTCAGAAATCTATTGCAGACTTGCAGGATGAATTTGAAACTATCACTCCTTTGATCCAACTTTATAATAATAATAATAATAGTATATTCTCATTTTGTACATGAGAGACGCCAGTTTACAGGCATCATCAATATGATAAATTACATATACGATTAGCAATCATAATTAATAATAATGTTTTAGTAAAATACACATTTTTTCCTACTTGTGTAGGACACACCAAATATACAGGCATGGATGAGCATTATATAAATTTCGTAAATTTGGTTTATGGTCAAGTTACATGGTTGCTGGCGTTTTTGTCTCAGGTCTGTGGGAACAATATATAACCAGTCATTCAATGGAGCACATCATGAAATATAGGAATATTAACTTCGCATTAACAAAAAGACCCAAGTAAGTTTTGGATGGATTAAAAATACTTGGGAAAAAATAAAGCTTGAAGTTATTCCACAATATAACAAGTCATTCAATGGAGCACATCATGAAATATAGGAATATTGTCTTCGCATTAACAAAAAAACCCAAGTAAGTTTTGGATGGATTAAAAATACTTGGGAAAAAATAAAGCTTGAAGTAATTCCTCAATATAACTTGGGTGTGTACAAATCCGAATCTTATTTTTGATTTGATTTATATCCAAATTGGGTAATAAGGAAGCTATTTTTACAGATACGATCAGTTATGTTATAAGCTACAATCGTGACGTTGTATTACAAATAGATACTTTTCCATTGGTATAAGAGTATATTCCACAAATGTAATCCAGGTAGCGTCGTGGAGAAAGTTCATTCGTTATTAACCAGGCAACTGAAAGATACTGGACCAATAATGTTTGCAGATCATTTGTCATTGTAAATGGTCAAATATCCACATTATTCATTCTCATTCAAAAAGTCAAATGGAAGCTGAAATGGTGAGAGAAAAAAGAAGACAAACAACAGCAACGCAAAAGAAAGCAACGGGAGTCCTTAAGGAGTGATTAATAAATATATACATATATATTCTGTTTAGTAATTGTGGTTATTTTGGTACACAAACTAACTAGTTCCGTTATGCTAACTTTTATATTATGTGTAAACTAATATTACTGTCCTGTGTAGAAATGTTAATCATCTAGTTCCAATAATATTAAAATTTATAATTGTAGTTTGTTGTAACTACACGTTTAAAGAACTTAAAATATCTATGTAGGGTGAAAAAGAAGGTGTAAGAGTCAGGCGCAAAAGTGCATTGTCATCTTTGAGTAGTCTGGTGACTGAGGAGATGAACACTGGAAGTGTGTTTGCATCGCGCACATTAGCTGGTAGTCTATTCCAAATGACTGAAAACTTATTTAAGAAGAAGTTGTACCGCACGTAAGTCTGACAGTGCTCCATAGCAGCTAGGTTGTGATGATTTCTAAGATTGTAACTGATGACAGCGGTAGGTTTAGTTATTGGCTCGGAGGAATGCAAGAGAAGATTAGTTAGCTTGTAGTAAAAGATAAGGTTTAGCTTAAGGCGTCTTTTCCAGAGGGGTTCTAATCTCAGTCTTTCGCATCGCTCATGGTATTCCAGACCACTTTCTAAACCAAGAGTTCTTGAGGTAAACTGCCGTTGTACTCCCTCTAATTTAAGCTTGTCATTTTGTCTTAGTCCACTTAGAATAAACGGGCAGTATCCTAAGATAGGTCGGACACATACTTTGTATAATAAAACCCTAGTTTTATTACAAAAGATTTCCTTAGATTCACTTCTCAAATCTGAGCTCCGGCTAGACTTTTTGACCACAGAGCCTGTAAAGAGGGTCATGTCCTCATATAATATCTTATGATGTAACATGCGAGACAATGTACCTACAATCATGCAACATTTCCGTATCTGACTGCCAGGTTCTACGTCTTCGTAAGAAATCTTCTAACCACCCATGTCCAGTACTCTTTAAATTTAAGTATGTTGACCTAGTTAAGAAATTTTCGGAGTCTAGCGAAATTCTCGGCTCCTCAACATCCTACACTAATATCGAGATTGCACCTGATTTAACTCCTCCCCAAAGACAAAGCCAACCTCGCCAGATACTAGCTTGCTAGGCTAATAGCTTACTAGTTTTCTCGTCAGTCCCAAGCCCGGGTAAAGAGGGAGGGTTGGGGCGTGGTGCTAGCAACTCCACCCCTGTAAAACAACCAAATCGCTACAGAGACTTCAACGAATAAATATATTAGAAATTCTAAAAACATAAGCAATAGCCTTACTTTTCGCTGGAATCGGGGAAGTGAAATGACGCAGGCTGGTGAAAGCTAGCCTTTGGGAAGCCAGTCAGTCGATGTGCCTTCTTTCGATGAAAGCAAAAGTAAGGATGGGTACCTGGAATGTTCGCACAATGTACGAAACTGGAAAGGCTGCCTAGATAGCCGCTGAAATGAGAAGGTACAGAATAGAAGTGTTGGGAATCTGCGAGAGCAGATGGAACGGAACTGGAAGGTGCCAACTACCTACTGGAGAGACAGTAATCTATTCCGGCCACCTAGGGGACAACCATGAGCACACCGAGGGAGTGGCCATCATGGTGTCACCAACAGCAGCCAAAGCTCTCATGCAGTGGGAACCAATCTCCTCCAGGATAATGACAGCCAGGTTCAACTCAAAAGGAAGGAAAGTTACAGTCATTCAATGTTATGCGCCTACAAACGTCTCAGAACAAGAGGAGAAGGAGGCGTTCTACAGACAACTACAAGCAATAATGGACAACGTCCCAAATGGCGATATCAAAATCCTGATGGGTGACATGAATGCGAAGCTGGGAGGAGACAACACAGGAAGAGAACTCACCATGGGTCGTGAGGCCCTCGGTGAAATGAACGACAATGGTGAACTCTTCTCAGACTTCTGCGCCTTCAATGATTTGGTGATTGGTGGTAGTGTGTTCAAACACAAGGATATACACAAGACGACATGGATTTCACCAGATGGAAACACCAAGAATCAAATAGACTTCATCTCAATTTCAAGAAAGTGGAAACGGAGCCTACTGGACACAAGGTCAAGGAGAGGAGCAGATGTGGGTTCAGACCACTATCTAGTACAAGGGACTTTCAAGGTGAAACTAAAAGCCTCGAGGATAGCTGGGGATAGGCCACAATGCAAGTTCAACACTCAGAAACTGAAGGACACAACCACAAAAGACACTTTCACTGCAACTGTCAGAGCAAAGCAGGAAACACTACGCGACAGCACTGAAGAATCATGCGTGGAAGAACATTGGAAGTCTCTGAAGGCGATTCTCAACGAAACGTGTTCAACGGTTCTAGGAAGAAAGAAGAGACAAGACAAGGAATGGCTCTCAACGGACACTTGGAAATTAATAGAAGAGAGGAGAATGGTGAAAAAGAAAATGATTCAATGCAAGGACAGACAGGAGAAAGAGACGCTGAGCTCAACTTACAAAGCACTGGACAAAGAAGTGAAGAAGAGTGCTAGGAAGGACAAAAGACGATTCTACGACAATCTAGCTACTGAAGCTGAGAAGGCAGCAGGCAAAAGGGACCTGAGGACACTATATCAGATAACCAAATCTCTATCCAGGAAGAGATGAATAGAAGCGAAACCTTTGAAAGACAACCAAGGGAAGCCTATTACCAAGGAAGAAAAACAGATTAAACAGTGGGCGGATCACTTCAAAGGACTCTTGAACCGACCATCACCTGCAACCCGTCCAGAAATACCAACAACAGCGCACACACAACTGCAAGTTGACACCAATCCTCCAACGAGAGCTGAAGTCTTGAATGCAATCAAACTTCTGAAAGCTGGAGAAACAGCCGGACCAGATGGAATACCCCCTGAAGCACTGAAAGCAGACCCAGAGACGACAGCAGACATGCTGACTCCATTATTGCAAAAGGTCTGGAAGGAGGGAAAGGTGCCTACTGACTGGAGGAAAGGTTACCTCGTGAAACTACCAATGAAGGGCGACTTAGGACTCTGCAAGAACTGGCGAGGAATCATGCTCCTATCGACGCCAAGTAAACCCCTGAGTCGCATCATCCTGGAGAGATTAAAGGACGCACTGGAGACAGAACTCCGACCAGAACAAGCTGGATTCAGGAAAGACCAATCATGTACTGACCAAATTGCAAATCTACGCATCATCATCACAGAACAAAGCATGGAATGGCAATCAAACCTCTACCTCAACTTTATAGACTTTGAGAAGGCCTTCGACAGCGTTGATCGTGAAGTAATTTGGAAATTACTCGAGTACTATGGCGTACCCCAAATATTCATCAACCTTATTCAACAACTGTACTACAACGGCACATGTGAAGTGATCCACAACGGAAGACTCAGCGAGGCGTTTGGAGTAAACACAGGAGTCAGACAAGGGTGCTTATTCTCACCAATGATATTCCTAATTGTGGTGGACTGGATTATGCGTCAGACTGTGGGAAACGAGAAGACAGGAATATCCTGGACCGACGTGAAGAACCTAGAAGACCTGGACTTCGCGCGTTGATGACTTATGTTTGATGTCACACACAATCGAAGACTTACAAGCGAAAACCGACAAACTGGTCGAAGAAGCAGCAAATTCCAGGTAAACATAGACAAGACGGAGGTTATGAAAATAACCAACTAACAACAACAGCAGCAGCAACATCCAACGTCAATCACCATCGACGGGAGGGATTTGAAAGAGGTTACTTCATTCACTCACTTATCTAGGGAGCATTGTCTCAACTACAGGAGGAGCGGACGAGGATATCAAATCGAGAATCGGGAAGGCGAGATACACATTCATCAACCTGAAATCAATCTGGAAATCTTCGTCACTCACCATCACCAACAAAATTCGGATTTTCAATACAAACGTATAGTCAGTTTATCTATACTGTAATCCCACTCGTCAAGCAATGATCTGAAACAGAGAGCAAAGCGCACGTTAGCAGTGTGATCACACAAGTGTTGCGTGCTAGTAAGAACGAGGACTCAAGGTCAAGTATTATATTTACAACCAATCGCAATACAAGTAGATAAGAGGGAAGGGCACTCCTATTGGTCATCCGTTGCCTCGTCTTGGGTAACCAATCCCTGCATACTTCGCAGCCAACCTGAAAGTAGACAAGCATGGTTTGAACATTAGAAAACCGCCAAACTTACCATGCCTTACACTACCCCCTCTCCCATAGGAGCACTGTCCGCAGTGCTAGGTGACTGTTCCTGCGGGACTTGTCTGCTCTAAGGCCTGTTGTCGAAAAGGTTTTAGTCTATTGAAGTGTGTGACTAGACTATGAGAGGAATTCGGTTCCTGAATCCTACAGGTGCAGTCACTTAGTACCTCTACTACAGTGAATGGTCCTTCCCAGCGTTTATGGAATTTAAGAGCTTTCCCTTTAGGTGGTGCCTCCTTAAGTAGCATCACCTTGTCTCCTGGCTCGACTGGTGATCCATGTGCTTTCCTATCATAGTATTCTTTCTGGTACCTCTGGTTTGTTTGGAGTATATCCCTAGTCATCTGATGTACCTTGTTCAGGTTTCGTCGAAGTCTGATTACGTGTTCAGATGCAATCAGTGTATCCTCTCCTAGTGTGTTTGAAGTCAGATCGATTGGCAACCGGAGTTCTCTTCCAGTGACCATATAATGAGGCGTTTGACGCGTAGCTTTGTGAATGCTTGCTCTGTATGCCATTAAGCACTGTGAGAGTGATCGGTCCCATTCCCTGGGGTTGTTTTGATCTACAAATGCCTGCAAGAGGGCTTTAAGTGTCCGATTGGTGCGTTCAACCAAGCCATTTCCCTGTGGGTGGTACGCGGTAGTGCGTGTCTTCCGGATACCCATTATACGACAGAGTTCGCTGACAACAATACTTTCAAAGTTGGATCCTCGATCTGAATGCAGTTGAAGTGGTGCCCCCCAACGGCTGACCCAGTGGTCAAAAATTGACTCTGCGATGGTTACAGCATCAATCTGTGGGATCGCAATAGCCTCGCACCATTTGGTAAAATGGTCTACCATGACTAAAATATAGTTATTATTTCTGGAAGTTACTGGGAGAGGTCCAACCAAGTCTATTTGTACTAAGTCATTCGGATGGCCAGCTATAATGGGTTCTAAGGGTGCCTTATTATATTTGTGCGGAGCATTAATAGTTTGGCATACCTCGCAGGAGTCACAGAAATCTATGATGTCTTTCCTCTGGTGAGGCCACCAATAACGTCTTTTAGCCGCTTCAATCATTTTCCCTGAGCCCGCGTGGCCTAACTGCTGGTGTAATGACAATAGTACTGTGGGTAGTGCCGACTGTGGAGCCACAACGCGACGAGTATAAGTGGGTCCATGTTGGTAGTAGAGGATGTCATCGACAATTTTCAGATTATCCCACAGAGACCATAAACACCGGGTTTCCCATCCAAGCTTACTTATTTCCTGGGTTGTCGGTCGTTCGCCTCCATTTCGAACACGTTCGTAAATCAAGGCCAGTTCAGGGTCTGAAGACTGAAGTTCAGGCCAACTATATGAAGTATGAGCCTCTAGTTGGAGCAGCGAAACTTGTGCTTCGGTGCATGATGGGCAGTCACCGTGATACCTAAGAGGTTTTCTTGACAACGCATCTGCATTTCCATGATTCTTACCCGGTCTATGCATGCATTCGAAGTCATACTCTTGTAGGTGTTCTTGCCATCTGGCAATCTGACCCTCAGCTTCTTTGAAGTTATGTAGCCAGCTAAGGGCTTTGTGATCAGTGCGTACAATGAAATGTCTACCGAGGAGATATGCCCTAAAGTGTTTAACAAAATTGACCAGTGCCAGCATTTCTTTCCGCGTGGTGCAGTAATTCTTCTCACTCTTGTTGAGTGCTCGACTTGCATAGGCTATCACCTTTTCTACTCCATCTGCGTCTTTTTGAGACAAAACTGCCCCGATACCAGAGTCGCTAGCATCTGTATCTAGGATGAATGGACCTGCCTGGTCAGAAACATTGGGATACGCTAGGATAGGGGGGCTACATAAACAGTTTTTTAGTCTTTCGAAGGCTTCCGTCGCTGATGCTGTCCAATTGTAGTCTTTCTTCTTAAGAATGTCGAATAGAGGAGCTGCAAGGAAAGAGAAGTTAAGTACAAAACGTCGATAATACGAGGCTAACCCTAAAAAACTATGTAACTCGGGGGCTGAGTTTGGGAGCGGCCAGTCTTTGACTTCCTGAACTTTTGCTGGATCACATTTAATGCCTTCGGCTGAAACAATGTGACCTAAGAAACACACTTCTTTCCTGAAGAATTGACATTTCGATGGGTTCAGTTTTAACCCAACGGTCTGCATCCGTTCTAATACTTCGGAAATATCACTTAAATGTTCGGTCAACGTCTTACTATGTATGATAACATCATCTAAATATACCAAACACTTACCTGGTATGCAATCACTCAAGACCGTTTGCATGAGGCGTTGGAATGTTGCTGGGGCATTGACTAACCCAAACGGCATTGTTTCAAACTCATACAGGCCTGCTTGTACAATGAATGCTGTCTTTTGCCTGTCATCTGGGTGTACTTCAACCTGCCAATATCCCGATGCCAGATCTAGAGTGGTAAACCAATTCGACCCTCTAAGGCATCAAAAGTGTCGTCTATGCGTGGAAGGGGAAAGCAGTCTCGTCTAGTTAACAGGTTTAACTTACGATAATCTACACACAACCGGAGTGTCCCATTCGATTTCTTAACTAAAACTACCGGTGAAGCCCATGGAGATACGGATGGTTTGATGACATTTTTCTCTAACAGTTCATCAACTAACCTGTTAAGCTCCTTCTGGTAATGTGCAGGTACTCGCCGTGCAGGTTGTCTACAAGGTGGGGCGTTACCCGTTTCTATGTGATGTTGGACCAGTTTTGTTCTTCCCGGGCTTTTTCCATCCCAGTCAAAACAGTCCTCATATTTGTCTAACATTTTATTAAAGTTGGCAGCCGTTTCCGATGGTAGGGGTTCTATAGTCGTCAGCATTCGCTGTTTCTCACTCTTAGCATCTCCCTGCACGCCAAAAGTGCCGTGCTCTTTGTCGTTCCCTACAATAAATGGGATGGAACAGTCCTTCAGTATAAGAGTCCTATGACTACAATCTATTATTCCCGACAGCTTTTCCAGGAGGTCGACTCCCAAGATTACCTGCCACGGCACCCGGGTAGAAATGATGAAATTGTGTTGAAGTGACAGTGTTCCCAATTTAAGTGGCAGCAGGACCAGTCCCTGGGATTGCATGCAATCTCCATTGGCTGTCGTAAGCCGCAAATTGTGAGTCCCTATTGTTGGCCTAAACGTCTCTGGAACACATGAGGAATGTACGACAGAACAAGTTGCTCCTGAGTCAACTAACATAACACACTTTTTCCCACCTATATAACCTACAACTTTCGGGGAGGAGGTGACACCGATTAGGTTTACAGTAGGCACACAATTCATATCGACATGTGACTCACCTGCATTGTGACCACAACTCCTAGCAAGCTTACCAAACCGCCTGCAGTAGTAGCAATCGTTTCTTGAAGTGGATTGCGACTGTGGGCGTCCTTTCCACGGTGGTGTAGGATTCTGTGCATGCTTTGTTGTTGTGTGCTGATATCCCATTGCGTTTACTTGTGGGCATGTGGTTCCTGGCTCTTCCAGGCTTTCCATTAGGCGTGCCCTAGCTTCCGCTTCTGTCATGGATGCTGGAGTGTGCAAGTTGAAGTCCTTCCTGTAACGGACGTCGACGCCCTGCAAGAACTTGGAATATATAGCGCTTTCAACCTCTGAATGTGTCTTGTCCTGCATAGCTTGACGCGCAAGCTTGCGGAGACGTAAGGTGAACTGGTTGATAGATTCACCTTGTCTCTGGTTGCACTCGCTGAATCTTTTCAGCGCTTCAATGGGAGGTATTGGTGGCACTATACGTGCTCTTAGAGTACTCAACAGGGTGGTCAAGGGCATATGCACGTAATCCAAACCAATTGTGTACATTTCCAAGGACCGTCCAACAGAATCGATGACGAATGCGTTCGGGTGAGGCACGTTCATCAGATCAATGTATCGGCACACCTTGTCCGACCACAGCTCGAAATCATCACCCACCTCCAGTGTATGCGGCAAGGGATGGACATATCGCGAAGCAGGCTGATTTGACTGAAAAGCTGGAGCCCTCACTTCAGCCAATTGATCCACCTCGTGAGATGCTGTCTGTTTGACAGGAGAAGTGTTCTTGGAAGCCTCATTGGGTCGAGACTTAGAAGAAGAAAGTTTTTTCGTTGGCAGGCTCGCCATTTATGTAATCCCACTCGTCAAGCAATGATCTGAAACAGAGAGCAAAGCGCACGTTAGCAGTGTGATCACACAAGTGTTGCGTGCTAGTAAGAACGAGGACTCAAGGTCAAGTATTATATTTACAACCAATCGCAATACAAGTAGATAAGAGGGAAGGGCACTCCTATTGGTCATCCGTTGCCTCGTCTTGGGTAACCAATCCCTGCATACTTCGCAGCCAACCTGAAAGTAGACAAGCATGGTTTGAACATTAGAAAACCGCCAAACTTACCATGCCTTACACTACCCCCTCTCCCATAGGAGCACTGTCCGCAGTGCTAGGTGACTGTTCCTGCGGGACTTGTCTGCTCTAAGGCCTGTTGTCGAAAAGGTTTTAGTCTATTGAAGTGTGTGACTAGACTATGAGAGGAATTCGGTTCCTGAATCCTACAGGTGCAGTCACTTAGTACCTCTACTACAGTGAATGGTCCTTCCCAGCGTTTATGGAATTTAAGAGCTTTCCCTTTAGGTGGTGCCTCCTTAAGTAGCATCACCTTGTCTCCTGGCTCGACTGGTGATCCATGTGCTTTCCTATCATAGTATTCTTTCTGGTACCTCTGGTTTGTTTGGAGTATATCCCTAGTCATCTGATGTACCTTGTTCAGGTTTCGTCGAAGTCTGATTACGTGTTCAGATGCAATCAGTGTATCCTCTCCTAGTGTGTTTGAAGTCAGATCGATTGGCAACCGGAGTTCTCTTCCAGTGACCATATAATGAGGCGTTTGACGCGTAGCTTTGTGAATGCTTGCTCTGTATGCCATTAAGCACTGTGAGAGTGATCGGTCCCATTCCCTGGGGTTGTTTTGATCTACAAATGCCTGCAAGAGGGCTTTAAGTGTCCGATTGGTGCGTTCAACCAAGCCATTTCCCTGTGGGTGGTACGCGGTAGTGCGTGTCTTCCGGATACCCATTATACGACAGAGTTCGCTGACAACGATACTTTCAAAGTTGGATCCTCGATCTGAATGCAGTTGAAGTGGTGCCCCCCAACGGCTGACCCAGTGGTCAAAAATTGACTCTGCGATGGTTACAGCATCAATCTGTGGGATCGCAATAGCCTCGCACCATTTGGTAAAATGGTCTACCATGACTAAAATATAGTTATTATTTCTGGAAGTTACTGGGAGAGGTCCAACCAAGTCTATTTGTACTAAGTCATTCGGATGGCCAGCTATAATGGGTTCTAAGGGTGCCTTATTATATTTGTGCGGAGCCTTAATAGTTTGGCATACCTCGCAGGAGTCACAGAAATCTATGATGTCTTTCCTCTGGTGAGGCCACCAATAACGTCTTTTAGCCGCTTCAATCATTTTCCCTGAGCCCGCGTGGCCTAACTGCTGGTGTAATGACAATAGTACTGTGGGTAGTGCCGACTGTGGAGCCACAACGCGACGAGTATAAGTGGGTCCATGTTGGTAGTAGAGGATGTCATCGACAATTTTCAGATTATCCCACAGAGACCATAAACACCGGGTTTCCCATCCAAGCTTACCTATTTCCTGGGTTGTCGGTCGTTCGCCTCCATTTCGAACACGTTCGTAAATCAAGGCCAGTTCAGGGTCTGAAGACTGAAGTTCAGGCCAACTATATGAAGTATGAGCCTCTAGTTGGAGCAGTGAAACTTGTGCTTCGGTGCATGATGGGCAGTCACCGTGATACCTAAGAGGTTTTCTTGACAACGCATCTGCATTTCCATGATTCTTACCCGGTCTATGCATGCATTCGAAGTCATACTCTTGTAGGTGTTCTTGCCATCTGGCAATCTGACCCTCAGCTTCTTTGAAGTTATGTAGCCAGCTAAGGGCTTTGTGATCAGTGCGTACAATGAAATGTCTACCGAGGAGATATGCCCTAAAGTGTTTAACAAAATTGACCAGTGCCAGCATTTCTTTCCGCGTGGTGCAGTAATTCTTCTCACTCTTGTTGAGTGCTCGACTTGCATAGGCTATCACCTTTTCTACTCCATCTGCGTCTTTTTGAGACAAAACTGCCCCGATACCAGAGTCGCTAGCATCTGTATCTAGGATGAATGGACCTGCCTGGTCAGAAACATTGGGATACGCTAGGATAGGGGGGCTACATAAACAGTTTTTTAGTCTTTCGAAGGCTTCCGTCGCTGATGCTGTCCAATTGTAGTCTTTCTTCTTAAGAATGTCGAATAGAGGAGCTGCAAGGAAAGAGAAGTTAAGTACAAAACGTCGATAATACGAGGCTAAACCTAAAAAACTATGTAACTCGGGGGCTGAGTTTGGGAGCGGCCAGTCTTTGACTTCCTGAACTTTTGCTGGATCACATTTAATGCCTTCGGCTGAAACAATGTGACCTAAGAAACACACTTCTTTCCTGAAGAATTGACATTTCGATGGGTTCAGTTTTAACCCAACGGTCTGCATCCGTTCTAATACTTCGGAAATATCACTTAAATGTTCGGTCAACGTCTTACTGTGTATGATAACATCATCTAAATATACCAAACACTTACCTGGTATGCAATCACTCAAGACCGTTTGCATGAGGCGTTGGAATGTTGCTGGAGCATTGACTAACCCAAACGGCATTGTTTCAAACTCATACAGGCCTGCTTGTACAATGAATGCTGTCTTTTGCCTGTCATCTGGGTGTACTTCAACCTGCCAATATCCCGATGCCAGATCTAGAGTGGTAAACCAATTCGACCCCTCTAAGGCATCAAAAGTGTCGTCTATGCGTGGAAGGGGAAAGCAGTCTCGTCTAGTTAACAGGTTTAACTTACGATAATCTACACACAACCGGAGTGTCCCATTCGATTTCTTAACTAAAACTACCGGTGAAGCCCATGGAGATACGGATGGTTTGATGACATTTTTCTCTAACAGTTCATCAACTAACCTGTTAAGCTCCTTCTGGTAATGTGCAGGTACTCGCCGTGCAGGTTGTCTACAAGGTGGGGCGTTACCCGTTTCTATGTGATGTTGGACCAGTTTTGTTCTTCCCGGGCTTTTTCCATCCCAGTCAAAACAGTCCTCATATTTGTCTAACATTTTATTAAAGTTGGCAGCCGTTTCCGATGGTAGGGGTTCTATAGTCGTCAGCATTCGCTGTTTCTCAGTCTTAGCATCTCCCTGCACGCCAAAAGTGCCATGCTCTTTGTCGTTCCCTACAATAAATGGGATGGAACAGTCCTTCAGTATAAGAGTCCTATGACTACAATCTATTATTCCCGACAGCTTTTCCAGGAGGTCGACTCCCAAGATTACCTGCCACGGCACCCGGGTAGAAATGATGAAATTGTGTTGAAGTGACAGTGTTCCCAATTTAAGTGGCAGCAGGACCAGTCCCTGGGATTGCATGCAATCTCCATTGGCTGTCGTAAGCCGCAAATTGTGAGTCCCTATTGTTGGCCTAAACGTCTCTGGAACACATGAGGAATGTACGACAGAACAAGTTGCTCCTGAGTCAACTAACATAACACACTTTTTCCCGCCTATATAACCTACAACTTTCGGGGAGGAGGTGACACCGATTAGGTTTACAGTAGGCACACAATTCATATCGACATGTGACTCACCTGCATTGTGACCACAACTCCTAGCAAGCTTACCAAACCGCCTGCAGTAGTAGCAATCGTTTCTTGAAGTGGATTGCGACTGTGGGCGTCCTTTCCACGGTGGTGTAGGATTCTGCGCATGCTTTGTTGTTGTGTGCTGATATCCCATTGCGTTTACTTGTGGGCATGTGGTTCCTGGCTCTTCCAGGCTTTCCATTAGGCGTGCCCTAGCTTCCGCTTCTGTCATGGATGCTGGAGTGTGCAAGTTGAAGTCCTTCCTGTAACGGACGTCGACGCCCTGCAAGAACTTGGAATATATAGCGCTTTCAACCTCTGAATGTGTCTTGTCCTGCATAGCTTGACGCGCAAGCTTGCGGAGACGTAAGGTGAACTGGTTGATAGATTCACCTTGTCTCTGGTTGCACTCGCTGAATCTTTTCAGCGCTTCAATGGGAGGTATTGGTGGCACTATACGTGCTATTAGAGTACTCAACAGGGTGGTCAAGGGCATATGCACGTAATCCAAACCAATTGTGTACATTTCCAAGGACCGTCCAACAGAATCGATGACGAATGCGTTCGGGTGAGGCACGTTCATCAGATCAATGTATCGGCACACCTTGTCCGACCACAGCTCGAAATCATCACCCACCTCCAGTGTATGCGGCAAGGGATGGACATATCGCGAAGCAGGCTGATTTGACTGAAAAGCTGGAGCCCTCACTTCAGCCAATTGATCCACCTCGTGAGATGCTGTCTGTTTGACAGGAGAAGTGTTCTTGGAAGCCTCATTGGGTCGAGACTTAGAAGAACAAAGTTTTTTCGTTGGCAGGCTCGCCATTTATGTAATCCCACTCGTCAAGCAATGATCTGAAACAGAGAGCAAAGCGCACGTTAGCAGTGTGATCACACAAGTGTTGCGTGCTAGTAAGAACGAGGACTCAAGGTCAAGTATTATATTTACAACCAATCGCAATACAAGTAGATAAGAGGGAAGGGCACTCCTATTGGTCATCCGTTGCCTCGTCTTGGGTAACCAATCCCTGCATACTTCGCAGCCAACCTGAAAGTAGACAAGCATGGTTTGAACATTAGAAAACCGCCAAACTTACCATGCCTTACAATACGGATCAGAAACTTGGCGGGCGAGTCACAAAGAATATTTCCAACAGCCTGTTGCAGACATTTATCAACAACTGTCTTCGCTGGTTCCATACTGAAAATCAGATGGCCGGGCCGGAAAGAATCACCAACAAGAAACTATGAGAACAAACAAAACAAGAACCAATCGCCCAACAAATATGCAGGAGAAAGTGGAGATGGATCGGACACTCGCTGAGGAGACCGCTGGGTGACATCGCGCGCCAAGCCCTCGTGTGGAACCCGAAAGGGAAGCGGCGTGTGGGACGTCCAAGGGTGACATGGAGGAGATCGTGTGAAGAGAATTTGAAAGAATATGGATTAACATGGATGCAGGCGAAAAGTATAGCATTAGACAGAAGAAAATGGAGACGTGCAGTTGAAGCCCTGTGTTCCACTAGGAACCCAAGGGAGCAATAATAATAAAGACAAATCCGCACAAGTAAGCTAAATGAAGATAACTCCAATAAGACAACCGTTGTTAGTACTTCCCTCGTTGTATCGCCTAATTGCCAAGAGCCCAGATAATATCGCATGCACAAACTAACAGTGGTCAAGTAACTTTTGAAGACTAAGTTCTAAATACTAAAATCGCAGACATAGAAACGTCAACAGATCATAGTATTGACGTGCATCCTTGCACGCTGGCACGAATGCCAAACCCTCGAAAAAGTCTAAGCTGAATTCAGTTGTACACTTTGCATCTCTCCAGAAGTCATATACCACACAACCTCTTATCCCGGCCACTGTGAAGCAGCAACCACATGTGGCCACCCAGGTTGGTATTAATACAAGGCGATATGATAAAAGTCCTACTTCCGTTAGGAACACCGAAAGAACTTTTGAGACTATTCAATAGAAATCCAGTTTATTAGGAAATCCTACTAGTCACCAGCAGCCCAAATTACACAAGCCGACTAATACGGAAAAACCTAAGCCGAACAATGGATCCGGAACACTAAAGCCCATAAGTACGAAAGTTTCAAAAGGGTCACTGGCTCATTCTACTGATGGACAATCATCTAAAGCTAGTCATGTTCCTCAAATTAGACATAATTCACATACCATAGGAGCTTACTCATTTCCGACTTCCACTATCAGTCCTATGATAACAAAGAAACAATCGTCACATATCTCCCAAACCACTTCGAAAACAGGAAGTTGCTCAGCCCCTCGCGAATGCACCCTCAAACATGATGTATAGGAAACACCAGTTTTAGAATACTGACATTAGGTCAAATACACGTATAGTGCCCTGTCATAATTCCCATGCATTTAGTAGGGGACACATGCCAATTGCAGCACAATGCTCATCATGGCCTAGGAAGTACTCTAACCAGACACGGGGATCTAAGTCATATGCACACAACAACACGCCGATCACACATTTCGGTTATAACCATGCATACTACACGACTCTAGCGAACTCAAATGAACAAAATTTTCTCCAGCGACAACTGGCAGAAACGCCAGGGATGATGCACTTAGCACGCATGATATCGGACCAATTCCTTGTTGGTATAGCAAACACCTTACAACAGGGAAACTGCTTCTTCCCCAGCAGATAGCAAACACCTTATACACACCTAATGCCAACGGTAATACCTTAGATTATCATACTAACATCTCCCATAGCACGCAATATCTAAACGACCAACTACACACGAGTGACTTTTCACAACCCATCCCTAGTTATCAAATTAAAGAAAACGTCTCTAGTGATAAAAATGTTGAAATTAATGAATCCGGTAACGACTGCACGTATTCAGAACCCTTATGGTTAAGGAGAGTGAATTGCAATTTATTTCTCTTATTCAAAGTTATATGAAAGCACTGTAACAGTAACTCATCCATAACCTGGGCTAGTCCTAATCGTACGGACTACGCAACGATGCCTAGCTTCTCAAGGCTAACTCCCATAAACTCACCACTAGAGCTAACTTTTTCACCATTAAATATTACAAACTTTGGATCCAACTTCCCTCAAAGATTAGATCCTGTGAGATGCCTGACAGTTTCAAATGGAGCGTAGAAAAAGATATTAACATGTCCACCCTAGCCCATCTAAAAGATCTCAACTGCTGGCAGAGTGGTGAAACAATGGCATTTCAATATTTAACTACAGAAAGTACACTAGTTCCTAGACTAGCATAATAATACTTAGTAATTGTGCATGTTTAATTCTTGAAATAACATTGTTATTAAAATACTTAAAGTGATTAAAATATATATGCAGCAAACGTTCTCTTGCTTTGCCACTCTTATTTTCCTTATAACACTCAGTTATTGAGCCTAATGCATTCTTTGATAATGCGAATTATAACATTGATTATATTCTTATCATACGAAGATTGATTAACTTTACGACTCCCTGTAAGACGAACTACCCTTCTGCAGTATTGTTAACCAAACGCTAAAATTTTGTTGGTTCAGTGTTAATATCTTTTTATAATATGTGTAGACAGATTACTTCGCAATGTCAAATGTTTACTATATATTAGACTGTCATGATAATTTAGTACACTAAGTCCTGCCAACCGACCTTACCTTCAGTTCATACTACCTACATCGAACCCTAACATTAGTGTTCCGCTGAACCTTGTTCTACTATTCATAAAACCTATTCCTTTTACTCTTCGGGTTTTTAACTTCTTATAAAGTAATCTGTTCATTAGGACGCATGCACACATACATGATATGTTCATAAAGATGTACGTGGAGACCTATTGGAAGCACTCATTAAGAAGGCTAGGGAGGTGGAATATGAGGTACGAACACGTCTGGTACCGACCAATATATTTTCGGTAGCCATAATAATCACAGTCTCAGAGCCTAGCATCGTAAAAGGAGGGAGGGTGGCGCTAGCTGATCAGTAGATATGGTGGTGGTCACTAAGGTGAATCGCCCCATTCTGCAGGAACAGCAATATACAAATTAAAGGCTCGAGATATTTCTGATTTTTATGAGGGCTTAGATCTTTATCTTGAAAAAGATAATAATGAACGCCTTGACAGATCATGCTTCTACCTTTAAATATATACCATTCGCTCAGCCTATTGTTGGGACGCGACCATGTGGGCTCTGCGCAGATGTATAGGGCATCTTATAAATTAACTTGCTATCCATTGCCGGATCATTAAATACCACTTCACAATATCATAATAATATATATTTCCTCCTGTTTATGCAGGAACATACCAATTGTACAGG